TGTCGATGTACATGTTTTGTTGAGAAATCTGTTTGAGTGTATCAAATTATTGTGCCTTACTGTTAAAAGGTAAGTTAGTGTATTTACAAACTTCAGTTACCGTTTTTATTTACTAAATTGCTGATTGAGTGGAGACGCGTTCATAGATCGGCCATTGGGACCTTTTTACCACATCACAATCAAACCAACGTGGCGAAATAATTTCGAAACGAGTACGTAGCTAATATTGATTCCAAATGTATTTAAAATTACTTTTATAACGTCAACCTGCCTACAAAAATATAAATCTCCCGGTGGCCAATATACGAGGGATGTCTTTTACGAGATTGAGGCGTCCTTGAAGATCTCAAAGACCTAAATTCAAAAAATTTACATGAAGAATTAGGATTAAGAAAATTAGTTGCTCGTTGGATACCATGTTTTATTATTTTCCCGTCTTCATAAGGTTTCTTCTTTTGTGCAGAACGTCATGCGAGTAATTTTTCAAAATTCGAATGTACGGTTTCATAGTGCCTTTTTTAGCAAAGGAAACAGATCTATTACATAACAAACATACATTTTTACCTTTAACTTCTGTAAAGAAATATTGTTCTTCCCATTCCGAATGGAAATGGTATGTCTTCATCTTCTTACTACTTCTCATAATGTTTTTAATTGCAGGCCAACTGTAACCCCACCGCTGGACTTTGAGCCGTTCAGTTTTAAACTGAGCGCACTGTCACCGCGCCTTGAGTAGTTATGCCGATCAAAGGAATCGTTCTCGAACAGATCGTTCAGCGCAGTGTTGCCGCTGCTTGTGTTTATTATGAGAATTTACAACATTTATGGAAGCTTCTATGATTTTTACACCTTTTGAAATGTGTTGTGAGCCACCAGAATTGCCTCTGCGTGCTACCGGTCGCTCGCGATCTACGGGTTGGCGATCACTGCGGTAGACCTTCTTAACGCTATGAGAGTCGCCCGTCAGTGTATAGTATATGGCGATCCCAGAAATGTTACCGCTGATTTCTGAATCACCCTGTATTGGGAGATCGCGCACCACACATCCGAGCACTTGGGGGGTGGTCCATGTGGACAATTAAAATCCGAGAGGAAAGAGCGATATGTGTGCCATCACCGTCGACACTTTCGGTGTTGGTGTTTTCCAGAGACAGATAAAAATTTATTTCGAGTTAATTGCATCAGATCGATTTGTTAAGAGCCTTTTAGTAATAAAGCCAGATAAATGACGCTAATGCATCGGATAAATTATGTGTCACGTCGTTCTGATATACCGCGCAAGGTTCGGGTCGGAGCTAGGTCGCTGCATGGGCGGCGCAGACAGGATGGTGCGATGAAGAACTCATTCAAGAAGGAAACTTCACAAGAAAATATGCTATACACGCCTCAACTTTTGAGATACAGGGTGGTAAAGTTTTCAAAAATAGATAATTAGTCATTAAGATCCGTAATACCACTTTAAAAAAATTAATTAAATTCCACATGCACGTATTATGTATCGTGACTCATTTCTTAAGGTAACACTTTTTTTAATTTAAACCATTGGCGTTGGTACGAAATTTTACCTGCCTATTTTGGCAGACATTGATGGTACGCCAAAAATTATTCTCTAAATCGCCAATCATTTCAGATTTGATCCCTTGATTTTTTCATTCCGAGGCGCGGTTTTTGCCGTTTCTCTGCACGATCATAAGAGCAGATATTGTTAGTGTAACAATGTTACCAGAGAACTAGAGTTTATTTTTAGGTGAAAACCGCGCTCGTACTGAAAAATTCAAGAGATCAAATCTGCTCATAAATGAATACGTTTGTTTTTTTTGATTTTAAAAAAGTCACTGACTTGCTAAGACATTTAGGACATACGTTTTTCTCTTAAAATGGACCCTTTAATATTGACATTCACTTAGTGAACACCTTGTATTACAACAAAAAAAACCTAAAAAATCGTAATTTAATTGAACATAACCTGTCTTCAGAAAGGACAACATATACCAAGTGACATATAAATCCGAACACCCAGTTTAAATGGATTTATTTTAATAAAAGATGTTGAATGTATTTATCTTACTGTAAATAACAAGTGAAAAAATGTTCAGCCTTATCAGTTGGACATTCCGGTTTTTACACTGCTTTTTTTAATTCACTAACGCTCTAAAAATGAATATTTCAGCCGCAGTAAAGAATCAACGTTGGCGGATTTTGGTTCTTGACATCCTTTACGATCGGTTACGATGCCTAGAGTACGGAGACCTGTACGATTTCGTCAACTTAGTGAGTTTGATAGGGGCCGTATAGTGGGACTTCGGGAAGCTGGACTTTCTTTTCGGGCAATTGCAGTTAGATTGCAAAGAAGTGTAGACACTGTGGTTAGGTTGTTGTCAGGCATGGCTGCGAGAAGGCCGTACGCAAAGAGCAAGGGGCACTGGACGCCGCCGTAGAACAGCAGACCGTGAAGATCGCCGCCTAAGATTATTGGCCTTAAGGGACCGTTTCTCCACTACCAGGTCCATTGCAAATGAATGGTTTGCAGAACACGGAAGACCTATTGGCGAAGTGTTTACCGACGAATGAGAAGTTTTGGCTTGTTTTCATACCGGCCACACTGGGTCCTCCCTTTAACTCGAGAACACCGACGTAATCGCCTTGAGTGGTGCAGACAACGGTCACTCTGGGATCAGGAATGGAACAGTATTGTCTTTAGTGACGAGTCTCGATTTTGTTTAGGCATGCACGATGGTCGTGTCAGGGTTAGAAGGCGACGTGGTGAAAGGAGGAATCCACAGTTTTTTGTTGAAAGACATGTTCATCACACTGTTGGAGTTATGGTTTGGGGTGCTATAGCTTATGGTTTCCAGGTCACCTTTAATCTTCATCAGAGGTAACATGAACGCGCAGCGTTATATCCACGAAGTTCTAGAACCCCATCTTTTACCCTATCTTGACACCCTGGCAGATCCAACTTTTCAACAAATAATGCCCGACCACATGTTGCAAGAGTCACAATAGACTTCTTTCAACATAATGATGTCACATTATTACCATGGCCACCTAGATCTCCCGACTTATCCCCAATTGAGCACGTGTGGGATATGATGGTAGGAGATTGCTCAATTTGCAACGTCCTCTTCAGACTCTAGAAGCACTTCGAGAGGAGTTGGTGGTTACCTGGAATGAGATACCACAGGAGGGCATTGACCACCTGATCAGAAGCATGCCTAGGCGCGTTGAAGAATGCGTAGCACATCAGGGTGCATCCACACATTATCAAAGGTCAAAGGGCTTTAAAGCAGTGCAATCATTTTGAAATGTTTATCATTTACTTATTATGCTTCACTAAGTACTTATACAAAATTTTATTAAAATAAAACCATTTAAACTGGGTGTTCGGATTTATATGTCACTTAGTATATTAATAACCCGTCGGTTACCTGTAGCAAAGAAGAAAGTACTAACATTTAAAATTGAATATTCTGCAGTTCTACAAATTTATTGGGAGCAGTTATTAATTCAGCAGCTGTGGTGCAGCGCTAGATGGCGCAGTAGAACAGCGTCGGTTTTCAGCATGTGCCTTATAAAATGTCTGCTTTAAATTTGTCTCCGTTTTTGCATGTTGTCGGCTTCTTTTTGCAGAAACCTCTTGTTCATTCAATCAGGTAAGTCTATAAAGCATATGCAGATAGTTATTTGCTGTTGCCAGGTTTTAAATGTTTCTAATTCTGTAAATTGTATATTTAAGGTTAGATTTGCGTAATAAGACCACGTTAAATGGTTCCCAGAAGAATAAAGACGAAAACTGGAACTGTTTCATATGCGATAATGATGAAATACGTGACAAGCGTCTATGTGTAACATGCTTAAGATATGTCCATGAGGAATGTGGAGGCTTGTGTAGAGGCGATAAAGTATCATTTGTTTGTCATCCATGCGAAGGCAAAAACAAGTTGATTTTTTTACTTGAAATCTATCTGGTTTTAAGAATTATATATTGTTGTAAATTAGAAATATAACTTCGTTTATTCAACAGTCTTGATTTATATTTCGAGCGTGGCTTTATTAAAAACCAGATCATGGCCTGATTTGGATCCCTGGGTTACCCCCAATTCCCTAATCTAGCCAAGTCAGATAATTTAGCGCACCGTTCATCCAAAAATCCAAATTGGCGCCTACCGTTTCTCAGAAAATTGCATGTTTCCACTGACCTCTTTCCCAACCACCTTTTTTCAGCGCGATTTTCCCAAAATTATCGAATTAACGCCATAATTCACCCATCGGACACATCGTAGCCCTTCAGCAGTAAATAACGATTTCGGCTTGAACGTGTAGGCAGTCGGCAGTGCGGATTTAGGTTAATTATACGTTTCGTGTAGACCGCTTAATAATTCATAAAGTTGCGCCTGTTTCTTCGTCGCCTCTGCTGACATTATCATCCGACCATTATCGCCTACATGCATCGACTGTGTAAACTCTGCTCAGACAACGACATCACGACCCGGCCGACGGTTGCTTTACACAGATTTTTATTATTTATTACTGGTTATTTTCAACTATTCATTTTTATTTCTTTTTGGGGATCGAATGTACTTCTTTTCGAGATGTAGCATATGAACTGTGGTTCCAGAATCGGGCCTTGATAAATTAAGTATTAAAACATTGATGATCATATTTAAAAATCTATCAACTATCCTTTCAATGTCTTAAGCACAAAAGAGGAAAGGGTAATCGGTCGAAAATATACGAGGGATGTCTTTTAAGTTTTGCATATGGAAATAAAACAACACGGTAGTTTTAGAGTTTTAGAGTTGAAAAATGACGTCGATAACTGTGCTTATTTTTCCTAGCTGGATGAGTCCAGAGATGTCGTTGACACCATTCAGATGGCCGTGTTCGTCAGGATGGTTTTTAGTGATTTACGATTAAACATCTTTTGAAGTTTATTCCACTAAAAGGACTAATTAATGGGCAGGACTTGTTATCTTCTTTCAAAAATATTATTTCTTCAGAGAAAATTCCAATATCGAAAATGGTAGGCTTGACAATCGATGGCGCTCCAGCTATGGTGGGTCCTAATAGGGGTCTCGAGGGGTTATGTCGTAAAGATGAAAGTTTTCCGCGATGTCTTTGTTACCACTGCGTTATATATCAGCAAGCATTATGTGGACATTTTCTAATACTAAGCATCGTTATGAAATTGGTAGTAAAAATTGTGAACAAGATTAGAGCTCAAGCGTCACAAAGAAGATTACTCAAAACCTTGGCCGATGAAATTGACTACGTACGATGGTTAATGAAACGTTTTAAGATCATATCTGCCATAGTTCAATTTTTCAAACAACGTGATGAACCGATTCCGCAACTGGAAATTTCGATCTGGCTTAGAGATTTTGGTTTTCTTGTGGATATTGCAGAAAAATTAAATGAACTTAATTTGCAGCTTCAGGGGAGAGACAAAGCAGAAACTAGCAGAAATGATTTCTGGTGTAAAGCGTTTATCAAAAAGCTTGAGCTTTGGGAAGAAAACTTAATCGATGGCGATCCCAGGCATTTTCCTGTTCTTTCAGAATAGATACCTCAGAGTCCATTGGACCATATGACAGTAAATATCATGTATAAATAGTCCCTAACTTGAAGGAGAACTTCAAAAATCGTTTCAAGGATTTCAACGAAATTGCTGTAGAAGGAAAGTATAAAGTATTTTTCTAGGTAAGCAGTTTAGAAAAACTTTACAACAGGGTTGTCCAATAGGGATGCAGGAAAGTAAACGTCAATTTGACATAGACGCCATCTTTGTTTTCTGTCACCGACATGTCATTTTGTTAGTTGAATATTTACCATTGATCGCAATCGAGTCGTATTCGATTGAAGACCGCATTAAAGTTATTCAAGAGCACTACAAAAATGGTGCAAAAATAAAAAACACGTTTCGCGCGCTTCGTGAACATTTCGGTCGCAACAACCGCCCAAACGAAACAACCATCGGTCGTCTGGTGCGTAAATTCGAGGCAACGGGTTCTGTGGCAAATCTGCCAGGCTCTGGCCGGCCAAGGAGCGTTCGCACACCGGAAAATGTTGCTGTTGTGAAGGAGAGTGTGAGAGACGATCCGAAACAATCAACAACGCGTCGATCCCAAAATTGGGCATTTCGAGAACCAGTTTGCTCCGCATTCTCCACAAGGATTTGAATGTACACGCCTACAAGATCCAATTGACGCAAGAGCTGCGTCGGGCCGACCAACGTTCTCAGATTGGCTCCTTGAACACCGCCAAATTGATGCCAATTTTTCATCAAAAATCATGTTCAGCGATGAAGCGCATTTCACTTTGAATGGGACGGTAAACAAGCAAAACTGTCGCATCTGGGCGAACGAAAATCCCCGTGAGTATCAAGAGCAGCAGATGCATCCTCAAAAAGTGACTGTGTGGTGTGCATTGTGCTCAAAAGGCATCATCGGACCTTACTTTTTCGAAAATGCGGCCGGAGACGCCGTTACCGTCAATTCTGAGCGATATCACGTGATGATAGAGGACTATTTTTTGCCGCAACTTGAAGGAATGGATATGGACGATGTTTATTTCCAACAAGACGGTGCAACATGCCACACAACCAAGGTCAATATCCATCGATTGCAGTCCTTCTTCGGTGATCGCGTGATTTCGCAGAGTGCCATGGCCACCAAGATCGTGCGATTTGACTCCCTTGGACTTGTTTTTATGGGGATATTTGAAAAGCAAAGTCTACGTCAACAAACCAGCCACCCTCCAAGAACTCAAAAACAACATCATTGCCGAGATAAATGCCATAGAACCGACCATGTTGCAAAATGTCATTGAAAATTTCGACCATCGCGTGGACGTCTGTAAATCCAGTCGTGGTGAACATTTGAGCGATATTATTTTTCATACATAAATGGTATAAATGAACCTTCAAAATAAAGTACCCAACTTGATTTGAATATCAATCTTTCTTGTTTTAATATGCGTTTACTTTCCTGCGTCCGTTTTGGACAGCCCCATATTTTTTCTAAAATTTTAGATAAAATTGGTAACAAACTGATATGTTATTATGTTTAGGTATACTAAAAATCCCGCCACCGTTTCACCTTGTATGTATTCCTTTCTCTCGGACTTCAATTGTCTACCAGAAACCTCCCTCTAAGTGCTCAGATCGGTGTGCACGCTTTTCGAATATATATGCGCCAATAAAAACGCAGCTCAACTGATTACTTTATGGAAATGGCTGGGCCTGATTGCTGCGACTATATTTTACATACCCTGACAACTGCTCCAGAAGTATCTGTTAGCGTTTTTATTGCTCGCACTGAGAGTGCATCCATAATTCACATAGATCTAAAAAGAGCGAGTCAATCAAGGAAACTATTATTAATGCTAGAGAGATTGAAACATCAACTGTTGCTTTTTTTCACACCGAGGCAGCCACGCAGGCACTAAGGTTTCTCGTTAGAGAGGAAATCACTGCAAGTCTTCTTTTCTCCAATTCACCGGTAGAGATCGCCTTGTCACTCTAAATGCCTGCATGTAGAGTGCTGTCATCAGCGAAGCTGTGGATTGGGTTGATCGTGCAGGGGAGTAGGTCGTTAATATTTAAGAAGAAGAACGTCGTAGCCAAGACCGATTCCTGGAGAACACCCGGGTTGACGTTGTGGGATCAAGATAACCCACAGTTACAATGGTTATCTTGTGGCCAGAGAGTAAGTCGGCCACACATCTGCAAAGCTTCTCTGGGAGGACATATGATGTAAGTTTGCATAAGAGGGCAGCGTGATATCAAGAGCAACGACATGAGCCTCGCCATGGACTGGATTAGTTTACTCCACAGTTGCATGACATAAGCTAGGAGGGTCCCATGTGGATCGCTGGTGCCGGAAATTACACTGCTGTCGCTAACCAAACAGTGACTAAGACTCACTCATCCACGTTTGAGTTCTCCATACCAACGGGAAAATGTCTACTGATGTGGCGCTTCGTTACCGAAAACAGACAGTAACTCAGCAAGGCATTCTTGTTGCGATAATTGTCTCTGAAAATTGTAATAAATTAGGGCGCGAAAATGTTCTCGGTTGAGTTCCATTTTTCTAATGACTTGGTGACATGTAAAAATTCACTGCAGTGAGTACATTGCAAGTATTGTTGTGAAACTTTGAATTTAAGTTACTAAAGAGTGGGGTTAACATTCAGTACTGACGTTCGATCCGCGCAGCCTCCTATGTTTCTATATGCAAAACTTAAAAGACATCCCTCGTATGTTGCAGGGGGTTTTAATCCTTGGAATCAGGGAGTAGAGCACCTAGAGTAGAATAACACAGAAAGTGGGTGTGTTTCTTCTTTCGGGGCACTCTATTCCTGAACACTGACGTCGCTCCCCGAGTCATTATCGAAAGAAAAAGTCTCGCCGTCGCCCAACAGTCTCATCTGTAAATATGAATTTAACTTTGTGGTGAAACGTTTAATAATATGAAAAATCTAGGAATGTATTTGCTGAATATTGGCGCCTCGACAACTTTCTTTGGTAAATGAATCCTAATGAAAATCTAAATTCGGAGAGACATGTCAGTAATTAGAACCGACGTTTGATAAAAATGACAATACGTTACTGCATGATATTTTCAGTCCCGTCAATAAATCGCAAAACAGGCTACGAATATCGACTACGAAGCCGGCTGAAGAGCGAAGGTCACCGTTGCGTAGCAACGGCGTGCAATATGCCGCGTTGCCAATATACAGGGTATCCGCAAAGTTGGGGTTTTCCTTTACACGACGTGTAGATCTTGAAAACATAAGCAATTTTTCTTAGTACCATATACACCAGTGTCTTAAGGGAACCGAGATAAAGGGCTCTGCAACATCAAAAATATCTGAATACCGTCCTGTAGCCGCGACTCGCGACATCCCCAACCCGACGACAAAACTGGGTCGGGGGTCGGGGTCAGTGTGTCAGGTCAGTATGCAACCTTCAACCGACGGTTACGGTCACGCGTGTAGAGGTAAACGAACTCGTATAATCGATTGCGTTTCAAAAAACAACAAGCACTAGAGAAGTGCAAGTATCAAAAACTAAAGTGTGGCAAACGCTGCGTGAAGAGGGGCTGTATCCGTTTCACGTCCAACGTGTACAAGCCCTTGAACCTGACGATTTTCCAGCAAGAGTGCGGTTTTGTGAGTGGTTGTTGCATCAACATGACAATAATCCGGACTTTTTGAAGTGCATATTGGTGACAGATGAATCTACGTTCACGCGTAATGGGGTGAATAACTTTCGCAACACTCATGTTTGGTCAGTAGAAAATCCGCACGCTGTCCGTCGGGCACATTTTCACAAACATTTTCGGTGAATGTTTGGGCTGGCATGGTGAACGGTATGCTCATTGGACCATTTATTCTCCCAAATCGATTGGACGGGATGCAATACCTAGACTTTTTACGCAACATTTTGCCTTCCTTGTTAGAAGATGTGCCATTAAGTGTAAGACAATCAATGTGGTTTCTGCACGATGGTCATATTTGTTACCTCTGTTCCTGGTCTACTGGTCTGCACCACCGCCGGCGTCTGCTCGGTAGCGCATCAGCTGATTTCATTTTCTGTTGGAGCGGTATGATTTCGGGCAGAGACGTACTTTAGCCCTTCTCGTCAACTGGAGAATGAATACTTTTTTCTTTATTTTTTTTTTACTTGGTCGCCCTCGTTTCACTACACATTACCTTTGTTATTTCAAGGGTAGTTGTTTCTGAAAAGGAAAACCCCAACTTTGCGGACACCCTGTATTGCACCAGACTTCTACAATAATTCACCATTACGCAATACCAATTATCACTGCTTGCGTGTACGCAGATGAACACCATTTCGGAGGAGGATGACAGTCCCCAATGAGCGCTAGTTGGATACTCCCGGAAATCGCTCATCTATGGTTATGTAGGTGGAAACCTTGTCTTGGAATGTACGAAAGCGGTGTTGTCAAGCAAACCAAATGATCAAATGTTGCAGAATTGGGGCGATCCTGACCTTTCATTTCGACGTAAAATGGAGCGGGGTTAGACCGATCCTAAACAGATTCGACACAATTCACAATTCAAAAATGTGTACGCTCAAAATAAAACCATTATTTGGGCGTAGAGCATAAACTACGTATACTTTATCTGAAGTCACTTGAAATAGCATAAAAACCGTTGGTCGGCGCGTCCTTTGTAATTTCATGACGTATCATAGGCGTGCGGTCATTTATTTAAAACGATAATAATAAATGTTTTTATATCACAATAAATGGATTTTACTATCTTCTTATTTTTTGATTTGGGATAAAAATACTTATATTGGGAGTTTAATTTATGTTGACTGAAAGTTAAGAAATGGAAAAATTACAGAATTCCAACGTTTGACATAGGCAAATATTTACATAGCAGGTAGGTATATAAAAAGGTATATAAGACTTACATTATAGGTATTTATATATCATCCTCGCCTTCGGAGCTGTCGCTAGAGTCATCTTGTAGAGGAATTACAACGGGATTTACATGAGGCAAAACACAATATTCATTTTCTTTTTCAATAAT